GTTTTTTTACGCAATATTCCTTATTTCATTAATTAGAAGGTCAGTGTCCCTGCCTAGGGGCTGGCATATAGAATAAAATGCTTTTTGGTGGTAACAGTCTGTCTCAATTTTGTTTGACAGAAATCTTCTGTAATACTCTTCAGCTTTTCTTGAAAAGGTTGTTTTCTTTCATTAACTTTTTACAAAACGTCCCTCCTGTAAAGCAACCTTGGGATTGTGAAAGACACTATATAAATGTAACTTATTTAACATGTGTAAATGTAACCTGTTCTTCTTCTTATTATTATTATTACACCAAAATTGAATTTTTACGTTTCAAACAGACATGTATTTAGCATTCACTGAAGTCGGCCTGTACAGACATCAATTAAGTTTAAATTTAGTTTTTACAAAAACTGCATGGAGCAGTTGTCATGCGTCAGCATGTGCCGACTGGACTATTGCGTAAGACCTGAGAGTTGTGTGTTTTATTTGACCTTGAGGTATCGCAGCACTTCATTTATTCTGCTGGGCTAACCCTTGTCCTTGATCCTATCAATGCAAGTTCAACACCCAGGGTGACCAAAACCCTCTCCTTCCAAAGGAAAGGTATAATCCATCTATCTGTGAGAGATGGTTATCGAAATGGAGAGGTAGTCGGGGGGAAAGGAGAGGTCTCTCTTAGACCGTAACCAGTTAAAGAAGACAGAAAGCTAACCTTGCTGTTTGCAGGGAGACATATACAGTACATTATTAATGGCACAATTTAGGCTCTTCTTGTCAAAAACAAACAAAACAAAACAATAGTTTCTAGTAGAGAGTGGACATTGGCACTATTACAAACATGTTTGTGGATCTTTATGCCTGTTTTTTATTATTAGTAAATTAATCATTATAGTTGTTTCCCATTCAATGAGACTTGTGGCATAACAGATAATGGATTGTCGAAATACTCTTCAAATACTTTTCAGAATTCATTCCAAAATGAGAATCATTATTTAAAAGTGGGACATTTTTACACTTGGCTGTGGAAGTGATAAAACATTTTAAAGCATGTGTTTGAAGATATGATGAACCGTCAGCTTAGAATGTTCTAACATTTACATTACATGAATTGTATGAACTAGAAACATAATTATGTTTGAACTAGTTAATTAAATCAAACACACACAAGGCAAGGCTGTGATGGTATTTTAGCCCCAGATAGCGTAGTTAACTCCTCCTCATTTAAAATCGGTCTTTTTGCTGGAGATGTAATGACTTCAGAGGTGACTAGGGCCCTGTAGAAGCTCCCCCAGACTCCCAGAGGCCTGTAACTGTTAGGCTACCAGAGGCTGTAGTGCCAGAGCTATCGCCCAGAGACTCAGGGGCTGATGGCCTCCTGATGACCATGGGGGGCAAGGGGCTGTGGGGGTGGCATCCTGGGACATGGACAGACCCCACTCTTCCCACATCGTTCACTCCAGCTGCCAATTTGGCACCTTACAGACATAAAACCCACTCATTCATCATATATGCTGCATAGGCCTATTATTATTATTATTATTATTATTATTATTCCTTAATGATGAGGAGAGTAACATTTGAAACTGTTTGGTAGCGCACCAGACATTTGGCTCATAATAGCCATTAATCTTTCTCAATCAATAATTTAAAACACTGCAGGCTGTATATTAGCTCAATACACTATTTTAGTTACACTGAAAATACATCTTACAGAAACACATATATACCATACACATTGTTTGAGCCAGGGCACTATGGTGGCCCCCTGGTTAAGACCAGGGGAGTTTCTAGCCATTGAAAAGATCAGGCGCTGAGTTAAGTTTACCTGGGGCTTGACTTTTTTTTTTTTTGAAGGAAGATTGGCATTGGCGCTAAAATACTCGAGGTTTGGCTTAAAATACGATGATCGGCCCTAACGATGCCCATGGCTAACACTGTCACCTCATACCTAAGGGTTGGCAGCAGAGGTAGATAGTTGAGATCCAGAAAGTAAAAATCCAGACCTATTGATTTTGTTTCAACCAACCAGTTAAGTATAAAGACTAGCAGTAACAGTGTACTCAACTGGTTGGTTGAAACAAAATCTAGGTCTGGATTTTTACTTTCTGGACCTGAACTGTCCACCACTGTTTGGTGGTTTGAATTCCCTCTGCCCTGTGCGTGAAGTTTGTATATTCTCTCTGCACTTTCCTTCCACGGTTCAAAGATGCAGTGAGGTGACTTACTATCTCTAAATGACCCATAGTACTTGTTTGGGAGTGGCTGTGCGCATATCCTACATGTGCTCTGTGGATGTTCTGCCATCATTGTCTTGGGCTATATACTATGAGGATAGGTTCAAGGCCACCCCGTGTGCCTGTAATGGATAAGAAGCTGGATGATGGATGGATGTGTAGAGTTGCAATCATTGAGAATAATTATTTCCGATAATGAAGTGGATCATATTTAAAAACGGCCTTTATTTAATAATCATTTATTTAATCATCAGATGGCATGCTCTTGACCCAGTTTACAGATTACTGTTTACATTCCATACATGTGACTGCAAATAATGCAAATGATTTAAAATACACTGCTACCTTCGCACCTAAAATACTGCTGATCATATAGAAATGTGGGCATATTACAGTACTAGCAACATGGCACGCAGCAGTCCATAGCCAAGTGTATAGACACGGGAGCGCAGGAAGGACATGGGTAATGTCATCGCGAGACAAGAAAGATGTAGCGACCGTACAGGCATGAAGGAGACATGGTACATGAATTATATGCCGAAATAGGAGCTGCTGAATCAACACTGACCAGCGCATTACATCATAATTATAAGGACATTGTCCTACCAAGGGATTTATATATACTGTATATAAAAAATCTCTCTCAGCAAATAATTACCCTGCTGTTTAGGTGATTGCAGGTGGTAACATGCTGTCATAAGCGGGCGTTTACTGAGATCTTCCACATTTAATTTCCTTCCGCTGGAAACAAAATAGAAAAATGGTTGCTAATCAGCTGCGGATGTTATAGCTACCCCTACAAGTGAATTCAAGCACGTTTGCTGTTTCAGCCAGCAGCCATAGGCCTACTCGTTAAACACTTCATTACTAATCACACCCCCGACACCCCCAAATTAATGTGAAATTGCCAGTACTTATTTTTTCCCGTGTGGTTAAACAGCATATTCAGTTGTTGAAGATCGCTTAAAAAAATTAAATGTCATTTATGTATTTATCTTAATGGGAGAAAATATTTGTCGACAGTTTCAATTATTACAAAAAGTATTAAAGGAAAATGCTGCTCCGAGGGGAAAAGCTGCCAGATAATACGTGAACAAATACGAAACAAATTAAACCGCACAATATGCTAGACTAATTGTGAAGAGAGTGCCCATAAATCACGCATTACGATGTTAATGTTGTGACCCTGCGGTTTGTGTGAACATAATGAGAATGTACGCTGCCAGGTTATCCCAGAAAAGAAAAAAAGAAAAACTATAATCTGGAGTCAGTTAAAAGGTCAACAATCAATAATAAACACGGGTGATATATTTGATCGATCCCGATAAATCCTTAAAAAGGCTCATATTTAAAAGCAATAGAGAGTGATGGACAGTTTTGTCATTGAAAGCATCGGGGCAGTTATTCAGACCTAGGCGCAGATGAGAGCAGCCTAAAATTAGTCGTACCAAACAATCAATTTCTATGTCACCTGAATGGCTGGTTTAATTCGGTCAATTAAATAATTCAAAGGGAAATTAGTTCATTTCTCTAGCTGTTTTACGTTGAATTCTACATAGGCACATTTTAATAGCCGTATTCAGTCCGGTGTAAAGGTTTACAATGGGGAGCACGTCCAAAAAGAACAATGATAAGGGTCACCGTTCTGAAGCCAAGAGACCACAGCGGCGCTTTTCTTATTCACCAACCGAGTTCAATTAACTCTCCCAGAGCTGATCTAACTCGATTTTTAATGCGTACCCAGAACAGAAATGACTAAACAATAAACCATCAAATAATGCCACCTACAGCCATGTCAATGTCAGACAAGTTCACCTTGAAAACATAGTCTCAACGCTTTTTACACATGGTCGAATAGCCTATATGCAAAAAACATAGGTTAGCACTATCAAATGCTGCACAAGTGTCCATGCAGATGTTATTATTTTTTTGTTACTAATAATTAAAGTACGTAATAGTGGGTATTAAAAGGCAATAAAAGGTGAGTATAGTTTTAAATTGGAAAATATTTAATTACTCGCATTTATTAATTCTGATTTACCAAAAGGTAATTATAACGACTCCTTTTCACATATTAACTTTCTCTTTAAAGAATACTTTTTTTAATTATACGGTTATTGGGCAATATGATGATGGGGAAAACAAACTATATTAACATTCAATAAAAACCATATGGGTGAAAAGTAAAATGAATAAGTGTCCATATGGTTTTTTGCATCTTTAGATTTTAACCTTCACACTTAATTCCTTTAGCAGGTGTTAAAGCACCAAGGTCAGATTAGTATACATCTGCCCATTCCCGGCACTCCGGTGATTTGGACAAAAGGGAAAATGGATCGATTACAGTGTATTATTAGGTAAATTAGTGCGAGGGAATGTCAAAAGCCCATTTCTGCATTGCACAGAGAGTGCCGTTGAGTTTGGTTTCGGGGCTTGAATATACCGACCACCAAGCACATGGAGGCATATGGAAATCACCGAAGAACCGACATGTAAGCAATGAACTTGACAAGTGACATGCAAAACAACCACAATAATATTCAACTCAGAGCATATAAACATCAAAAAAGGAATGCAAGTATGTTTCATAAAATTAAATATGCCTGAATTTCTCCAAGTGCCATGCGCCGAGTTATAACGTTTTTCCTATTTGACAAACTTAAGTCACAAAGGATACGTAGCCGAGGCCAAAATGACAACATGTACAATAATTGAATTATTTATTCATAGAATACAAAAGATGGGTTTTAAATATGCAGAAACTGCAATGGGAACGCCGAGCCCGTGCGCTGTAGTGCCTCTCCAGTCCGCCGGCTCGCGCCTCGCCAGCCAGCCACCTACATCCTGTACGGCTGTTTGGTTTCCTGTGCTTTTTTTATTGAAATGGTGGCTCCCTGATGCGTCCCACCTTCCACCACCTTCAGTGGTAATTTGAAAGTAACTAGTTGAGCCTTTTCCTGTGGGAGGTTTTTTTAATGTTCCGCGCAGCCGACGCACAGAACTTCGTTAAAGCGAGAACCAGCTGGTAAGTCGGCACTGGCGCTCGGAGTAGACGCTGGCTAACGGCCGGTTAGCCGGCTAGTGCCTACCTTAGCGTAGCGTAGCCTAGCTTAGCCTAGCATAGCTTAGCCTAGCCATGTTTTACTTACCGGCGTTCTTACGTGAAAAGCACCCCATCTCCCTCAAGCTACACGACAACGCTTTATGTCTTCTTATTTTGCCTCGACACGTTTTTCATAGAAAAGGTTCAGTAATTTGAAGCGCACTGACAGTTTAGCGTCTGGTCACCTCAGTATTTTATGCTTTTTAAGTGTAGCTAGCCGGTTAGCTGTTTCGCTAGTTAGACTTCCTTTACCAAGGATGAAACCCACGGCACTATTATCTTCCAAGCTTTCGTTGGAATGGTGTTTAATTGTCACTGCATGGAATGTGAAGTCGTACATCAATATAATGTATATTTTTATTACCAGCTGTGTAAAACGGAGAATGAGAAACTAAATTACCTGACAGAAATACAGTGTTGTCTATCTAGTGAAGAGTCATTGTTTATCAGGAAGAGTGGTTGCTAGTTACAAAGTGCAAACAATAATATTATGGACGTTGCCTGCCTGTCATATACGTGCTGTTTAATGATAAGTACAGAAATCTTAACCCAGTCTAGTTCCTTAGTGTCAGATATTAGAAATTAAAAGGACACCAATAGGTTAGTATTATGAGTCTTCTTTATCAAGCACATTTCTGTATACTCGTTACCTGTATACCGGTATACAAACTGAAACAAAATACAGGAGGACATGCTTTTAAATAATTAGAGGGGATGGTATTAATGGAAAGTGCAAGCTAAATGTGTTCTTATTTTTAGTTCAAAGAAAATTATGCCCCTACTGATGAATACAGTGCTTAAGCATAAACAAACAGATGTTTGTTAACCAGAGCTTTGTTGTGGCCTGCTGTGATCTATACAGGCATTATAACCTGGGTTAAGAGTGTCTTAAGGTCACCAGTTGTGAATTTGATGAGCACTATGTAACCGGTGTACTATAATTATAGCCTGTTATGTGTAACCTGTTTTCTTGGGGAAAATGGAAGAAGGTGATGTTTCTGGTCTGAACACCTCCACCTGTTTCATTCTAAGGTTGGGAATTGTGTGGCTTCTCAGGCTCTGAGGCCAGGGAATAGTTTTCCTTCTTTTTCCAGGGTTGGAAAGAAGAATGTGACATGAGCCTTTGAGAAATTGTCTGCGGCCAAGAGCGGAACAGCTTGTTTGCCGCAAAACATGCTTAGCATTTTCTTTTTCAAGTAGGAGCCCTGTTGAGAAACCTTTTGGATGTTAGTTGTTTTCTAGTAGCCACTTGTAAGTCCGTTTAATACAAATATTAGCCCTGAGGGTGCAGACGGTGTTTGTAATATGTTTTTGTCATGTTTGTGCTTTGCTCAGGCACTTCCGCAGGACGATGGACGAGCTGGTCCACGACCTGGTGTCAGCGCTGGAGGAGAGTTCTGAGCAACCCCGTGGGGGTTGTGGGGATGGGGGGGACCACGCCCTGGCAGTGGGGTGCCTGCTGAAGAGGCAGGCGCGCAAGAGGCGTGGCCGTAAACGGCGCTCAGACAACGCCCACCCGCCGTGGGAGTCCTGCCACCCCCTGAGTGAAGGCTCAGAGTCCAGCCTGGAAGACCACCGGGAACACCGAACCACCAGCCATGCCCGTGACAACAGTGACTCCGACGACCAGCTCTTGGGCCCCAAGCGCCGGCTTCCCCTGGCCCTGGATGGAAGGCGACCCCTGTGGCATGATGACCTCCAGGGGGCAGAGGGGCTGGGCAGCCGCAGCCTGCGCAGGCGGAGGAAAGTGAAGCGCATGGCTGTAGACCCGCCGTTGGAGGTCTCCGGCATGCTCGCCCCACCTCTGCCCAAGCCGCACGCCAGTGCCAGAGAGATGGGCCTGAACCCAGAGGCTAAGGGGCCCGAACTTGGGAAGAGCAGGGTTAAGAAGAGGAAGCTGACCACCAGCAGGCAGGGGGTGGAGGCGACTGACGAAGGTGTCGTAGTGGAAAGTGAGGAGTCCAGCCAAGTAGGCAAGGACAAAATGGACTATGAGGAGCACAAGGGATCAGACGAGGAGATGAGTGACAGGTGGCTACTCCTATTTAGGTTTTTTATTGTTTTTGAGAGGAGCAAGAAATTCCTTTTGCTGTAAACAGATCAGGATCTCCCATTATGATGATTGCTACGCACTATCTAATGACTCTGGAAAAGTTTAATTAATCATTTTCGGGCAGTAGTTCTCAACCCTGGGTCTTGGCAGGCAATGATTTGTCGCGCTACCTGATCGCTTAAGAAGTCGATTGAACTAATTATTACGGTAATTGAACTAATTTAGCATTCTGTGTCACTGCTCGGGATGTGAGCCATTTAAAGGGACCTGAAGAGGCCTCACACTGTGTGTGCACCCAGGATCAGAATTACCACCCACAGGGTTAATATATTCCCAAGTAGGGTTAAACGATATTGGGAGAAATTCACATTCAAAATAGTAGTGATAAATATTGCAATATTTATAAAACAAACAGTTGAAAATTTGACCAAAATAAACTATAGGTAAATGGAACTTATCTACCAATATAGTCTGCCAAATAAGTCGGTAGTATTGCCCTGAGTTGTGCCAGCAGACACCAGGCAGTGCCTACAAATCACTTGATTTTGCTTGAAATTGTCTTTATGGAATCCAAAATGTTTCCTTTCCCTGGAAGACAAATGTCTTTTGGTGACCAGTTCTTGTTTGCTTTTCTCCGTTTTACTCATAAATGTTAAATTTCTCACAAACGCACCACACAGTCTATGAGTGAGTCCAACGGCAAGGATGAAAATGATTATAATTGGCTTGTAGAGCGCGTACAGAGCTCATGCAAAATAGCCGCAGTAAGCTTTAGACTGATTTTTTTCAAAAATTCTATACTAGATAATGTTGAAAAGAAACCATAATTAAAATTGGAAAGCTGCTAAGTTTATAACAGTAAAAATGTTTTAGCATAACTCATTGATGGTCTCAATCCAGCTGACTATCGCAGTGCTTATGATGTGACAAGTGCATGTGCATAACATGCAATGTCGATATTAACATTGCATATTGTGCTGGCATATTACCAAGGCATTCTTTATTCTGTCTATTTTGCTCACGCCACATTCCTGATTTTAATCCCAAGATAATTGTCAAATGAATCCTCTTGACTTCTGAAAATCAAATATTGCCAGCTCGCTTTAATATGCTGGGTAGTGTATTGATGGGTTGTGATACTTCTCCTTAAGCTGTGCTTCCTGCTGCCCTATTTCTTTGTTGGTCCGTCTTGGGAGCTTAAAGCTACACTGATGTTTTGAAGTTGTTTTCCCATGTTCTTAGGCACAAATCGCTCGGCATTTCAGAAGCATGTTTCTTAAAGCAAAAATTCATATAGGTCCTCCGTTACTGCTCAGACGTACTGTTGATGGAATCAGCAACATTTTATTGCAGTAGTAATAAAACAAGCCCTTTCATGGTTAGTTTCCTGATGTGGGATTTTGATGTGTAGATGGCCGTTTTATATGATTCCCAGAGAGCTGCTGCACTTCTAAGCATGTTACCCAAATGATGGAGAAGCAGGTTGTGATCACTGCCCTTGTTTGCTCTTTCCCAAAAGAGCCTGCAGTGGTTTTTATGTAAGCGCTGAAACATGGTGGTTTGTAGATGTCCCCCGGTACAGAAGTTCATAGGAAACAGATTTTGGCGCTAGATGGGATACACCTGTCATTAGTCAAGGTAGTCAGTGTTCGATAAGTAGATTTTCGGAAGGCAGCCCGGTACACAAGCCTTAGGGGCTGATGATAATAGAAATGACTGCAGATGAAAAATGAAATGATCCTTTATTTGCACAAGTACAAGTACAGGAAAGCTTCTTTGTCTACCCCGTGTTGCTCACCTTGAGAGAAATTTCAGAGTTTGTTATTCTTTCAGTATAAATCCTCTAAAACTATTAAAAAAATCTGATTTTTACATGTTATGTTTTTGGGAAACTAGGGGTAGGTTTACCTGCTTTAGGGTTTAATCAAATGAATTTGAATTGATTTTGAATTCCTCTTTAATTTAATATGTTGATTGACTGTAATTTTTAAGAAATGTTTTTGTTATTTGTTCCTCTGTGGGTATGTCCTCATTTGTATTATCATATTTTCCAAACTTTAAAATGAGATTCTTTTAATTGAAACGCTAACTTAGTAGCTTGCCTCTGGAGTCTCACATAGTCGTACATAATTTGGATTTTCCAAAAACCCTAAAGGGACCATTCTTACTTTTCAGACGGATTTCTTTTATCATGCTTCTAATGTTGGGCAGTTATCTAGGCTACTTTAATTGTCTGTAATCGTATCCATGTTGTTGCTTAATTAGGCGTGTTTCATTGGGGTCATCGTGCGTTCTCTGTGTATTTATTGAGATCAGATGAAAAATTAGCAGAATACCTGATTAGTAACGCTGGAGATTCCCTTGGTCAGACTGCCGATGTCACACTTTGTGAGAGTGCGTCTAGCACCCCAACCCTTCTTTCAATTCCCCTCATATCATCAGTCATCGGCCTACGTCTTTCTTTTCTGTTGTTGGGCGCTCTGCCCGAGCGTTTGACAGCGGTCAAAAAGGTTAGCCATCCAAAGCCCATGATACATACGACCACTGACAGCCATCGGCCAAATTGGCCACCTTCCGGCGATTGCGGGGACCAATGGAAATACGGGGGACACTCTGCCGGTGGGACCATTCTACCGGGCCCCTCCGGCGAGCTGGTTGGCTTGTTAATTGCTTTGGAAGTATCACTATGAAGGGGAGTGCGTGGAAATGGGCTGCCCCCTTCCTGTTACGTGGAGACAGGTTGCTTCCTGGGATAACATGCCTGCAGGTGACCCTTAGGACCAGCTCGTCCATCGCTACCCATCCAGGCAGAGGAAAGGAGTTCGGGCCTCAAATTATACTTTACTCTCATAAAGTAATGAAGCTTAAGAAAAGGGGGATTTCCTCAGGCTAAGGAGGGATTAATATGCGTCTTCTGCGTTAAACGTTTGCAGAATAATCTGAGTCCTATGTGTCTTTGCCTGCTGAGCTATTTCTCCTTTTAGATGAGTGGATGTAAGGTACCCCCTTGATGTAGAGCGTCTGCTCCCCTGCCAGCCTTTGTGGCGAAACGCACTCTGACGGCGGAGATCTGTCAGGCGGTGTGGGGACCTGCCTGATGGATTCTCTCTTCCTGTACCCCACGAAGAAGGACATTAAATGCTGCTGGCCTCACTGTCACGGCGTGAGATTTATAAGCTGCAGGGCCGACATATTTTCATTACCGTTCCCCCGCGTTTCCCTAACAATCCCACCGGAGTTTCAAGCTTCGGCCAACATTAAAATATTCATCGGGTCGATACGGTAATGCTCAAGATGCCACACGTGCGGGGGCAGGGTCGGCGTTGCGGGAAGTGTTCGATTATTCAGGGTCATTTTTCTCAAGCCGGCACTAAGCTATAGGTTCTGTAGTACGGACTGTCCGTCTGACTGGAAGGTTGTAGGTTCAAGGTCCGGGAAAAATCATGCTGTATTATAGCTTGATGAACACAATCTGCCGGCAATTTAGAATTTAATAATGACAATGTCTTTCTGCCCGCCTATATATACACCTCCCATTCTTACAAAGTGGACCTTTAGCGTCCTGTTAGCGTTTTTGATCATTTTAAAAGTGGCTAATTCATGTGAGCAAGCTTCTGCTAATCACCGCAAATTGTACATGTATTCCTTTTGACCATCTTGTCTGTTTTTCTGTCTCTCTCGTCCCAGTGAGACTAGCAGCGTCAGTAACAGCAGTGATGGTGGGTTGTATACCAACGACGAAGGAAGGCAAGGTATCCTCAGCTTTTTAAGATTCTCGGCAGGCTTTTAAAATGTTGGTTAATATAATGATGCTCTTTAAAAGTGGATCATCTCAGTAGGTACATTTCGTTCCTCGTGCACGGATGTTATGGTTGTGGCGACTGCTATTTTGAAGCTGACCCTGCCTGATGCTGTGACATTTCTTGTTCCCAGGCGATGACGAGCAGAGCGACTGGTTCTATGAGGGCGAGCCGGGTGGGGCTTGTGGGATAGCCGGGGTCATCCCTTGGTGGGAGAAGGAGGACTCCTCTGACCTGGAGAGGGAGCTGTCCGACCCCGTTTTCAACAGCATCCTCACGGGCTCCTTCCCTATCATGTCCCAGAAAGCTCAGAGAGGTCAGTGACCTGCCCCCCCCCCGAAATATCTGTAAGAGGGAGGACGTATGTGCATTGTGGGGGTCTATTCTCCTTTCTGTATCTGTCCAAGCCGTCTGTCACGCATTGTCCTGCTCAATAGAAACACATAGATCCCTATTGCTGTTGTGTAGGATCATTATATTTCTGCTTAGAGGTTAGTGGAGCTGAGTCAGGAAAGCTGTTCATGAACATCTGCCTCCATGCTCTTCCTGTTTCTTTGAGTCATTCAGTGCCTGTCTGAGTACAAATTAGCATCAGATTAGCATTGCCCTGTCTGCCCCCCCCCCCATCTCACTTCAAAGCTACGTTTCCTTCCCAGTTGGTGGAAAAGCCCCGTAATCGCTGTTTGGTGTTTGTCGCCTCAGGTTTTCAGGCCAGGCTGAGCCGTCTGCATGGCGTTCCGTCTTCCCCGTCAGCGCCGACCGCCGTGAAGGTACGTCATTCATTTAGGGAAGGGCTTGAACCCCAAGGAAGTGGTTAGCAATACTGAAGATCCTGCAGTGCATGCTGCATACAGACCCGCTCAGATCGAAACCCCAGACAAGATGGATGAGCATCAAAGCGAGCAGGGCAGCCATCTTCACATGCTGTTTGTGGTCACGTTTGTGGCAGGCGGGGGGCGGGTTTTCTCTTTCTGGGGAGCTTACTTTGGGGCCCTGCCATTGTAGTGACTTTGGCCAACAGGGGGCCACCGATTCTTTGGGGCCCCATGGAAATGCGTGATTTGAGGGGTGGTAAATGGCACCGCTGGTGACAGGCGTGTTTTTTAATTGACAGTGTATTCCTGACAATGCTGCTCACTTGCTGTAGGAGCAAATGATTAGGAAATTCTTTTTTCCTTTTTGGGCTTTTGCTATCGTTATTGAATACTTCAGTTACACACAGTGGTTCGTAAGCCATTCCAGTTGGTGCTTTACAGTTAAACTCGCTGCCTGTAATTGATTGAGGATGTGTAATTTTCCACATGACAGGCTCGGGAGTTTCAGATCAGCGGCTGTGCGCGTGAGATGTGGCGTGTGGAAGCGTGCTGCTCCCGTCAGTACAGACTCCCCAGATTATGGCCACGTCCTGTGTCTGTGTATCTGTGTTACTGCGTGGTTCTTCCCGTCACTTCGCGGTGGGTTTCCCCTCATCTACACACCATGTGTTCAGACTGTGTTGTGCTTATTGTGTTAATGGGAGCCCCTTTCCTGTATAAAGAGGGTGGGGACGATGCCGAGGTCTTTGCGGTGACTTTCTGCCATGTGTCCTCTGGCGTCCTGTGGCCCCCTTGTTTCCACAATTCACTCTTCACGGACGTCCCTGGATATTTCCAGTACAAGCGGATTTTTATTGTTGCCTGTTTTGCAGTTTTACAAAGAAGATATAAGGTTTTTTTTAAAATACGTTTAGTGTCTGTGCCTATACAATATGAGAGTAAAAATAACACAATGGCAGCAACCCAGAGAGTCAAATGGTAGGTTGTAGCACTTCCTCTGCTTGTATCATCACACCTTTTTGGCTTTGTACTGGGCAGCCAGTTCAGTCCTTAGACGCGTCAGAGCCCAGATTGTCTCTGACAGGTCTGTACCGCTCTCTTTGACTCACATGCTCTGTTGTCTTGGCAGCCTGGCACTATGTTATTTCCCCCCCCCCCCCCCCCCTTCGATTTCCCATCTGATTCTACTTTACCAGCAGTAATTGGCTGATAGAGTACATGCTGTGGCTCTGCTGCCTTCATAACTCCTTGTCTTTTTATTTATTTATTTATTTAGCCAACGATACTAATAGAATTTCGAATCCACACCGCTGAGATCGTGCTGCGCGTGGATCAACGGTCATGTCAAGGTTCTGTCGGAAACACCGCGGTCTGCGTCCGTCTGCAGACCTGGCCGGCTCCTTGTTCTCCTCAGAGTCTTGGTGCGCCTCCCATTATTAGGAAATTAATTTGATTCTCGGACATTCAATCCTTCAGGTGAATGATTTAGCTGTCTGTTATTAGATGCGTTCCTGTCTGCAGTAAGGGATTATTAATACGCTTTCTCTGCTAATAGCCTTGTCTCCCAGGGACCCAAAGAGTATTGCTTATTTATAGGCTTTGAATAAGATTTTTCACTGGTGTAGAAATATCTTTTTTAAGACTTAAAAGAGCAGTAGTGAGTAATCGTATCAGCCCCAAAGTCCCCCTGTTACCGGGGAAACGGGTCACCACTCCCCCCTCGTGCTCTTGAGTTTCTGTTTGTCAGTATCTCTCAGTAACGAAAAGCGGACGTCGGTATTGGTAAGTGTCCTCCATCTGTCAGCAGTGGCAGCAGTCTGCTGGGCCTGGGCGAGTGTGAAGCAGGGCGAGGCGTCCCGTCCAAAGCGCAGATCTTCACAGGCTTTAAGCTGGCGCTTGGAGGCGTGCCTAGGGGCCGCGGCAACATTCAGGACCGTAAACGGGGCCGAGTCTGTAGACTGCACCAGTCGCCGTATCGGCCAGGATGACCTCGGCACCCAGATGTTGCATGCTGCTGCGCGACTGCATGAGTCGCGTGGCTTATTTATGTGTTTAGGTTCTTATCCAGACATGCAGCTTGACAGGGGCCTGTATCACAAAGCGAGATTTCTTGCTTAACTTGTCGGACTTGAGGTTGTCTGGGCTGAATGTAAGTGAACGAATATAAAGTCCATTTTAAACTGGGGTACCTTAAATCTGGCTAAGCAAGAAATCAGTCTTTGTGATAGAACCTAGGTGGTGTTTTGTGTTTGTGTTGTGGAACTGGGCAGCTACCCCCTTAGTTATATCTCCTTAAAGGTAGAGCTTTTGTCCCGTCTGTTTAGGTGCTGTGTGAATTACATGCTTACAATTCTGTCCATGTATTAGGTGTTTTGGAAAAGGGAGCCTCCCTGATTTGCTGATGTAAAAACGAGGGGGGAGACAGAAGCCGGGAAGTTTGTTTATCTTGTATCCTGCAGTTTTAGGGGTTTTTTTGTCTTGTTTACCCCTCACTCATTAGCCTCTAAGTGTCTGCTGAATAATTCAGGGCCAGCCACGCTGGTTTCGTGGAGGTCAGGTGGAGAGATGGTTATCACAGGTCATCCATTCTTGAATGAGATCAAGGTGACCTGTTTTTTTTTTTTTTTGTATTCAAAGAATGTTTTAACGGGAGATAAAAGTGTAATGATCTAAGGGGAGCTTTTTTCACCAGGGGAAGGCTCCCTTCGCCTATTCATTATGTTTTTAAAGGGACCCAAACGCCGTCCTGGCGAGGTGCCCTTCTCCGCACCATTATTATTTTATTGCTGCAAACGCAGTTTTCCTAACTTCCTCCTGCAGTCTAGTGACCCATGGGGGTTTTGGGGGGGGGGAGGAGCTCGGGGAGGTTTTATATGCTAAGTGAATAAACATCTGTGGTTCCTAAAGGTGCATCATTTGGGGAGGGGATGCCGGGGCTGGTAATTACGGCAAAAATAAGGCTTTTCGGGGGGGGGGGGGGGGGTGGCAGTGTGTGTGTGAGACAGCCGCCTCGTAGCAGCATCCATAGATTCGGCGCGACATGGTCAGCCCAGTCAATAGCTGACGGGAAGAATGAGTGGCGCTAAATAGGGATGGGTGGGGGGGCACAGGCTCATAGCCCCAGCCTCCATTGTAGGGTTTCCCACTTTCACCAGCGTTAATTGATCTGAGAGCAGGCGACTAATTACAGTCGCTGTAATGGTCACCTTTTCAAAAGCACAGAAATATGAACTTTTCCATTACGAGCAGAGTGTGGAGTACCGCACATTTTAGCAATCGATTAAAAGGTGTTGGGACACTTTCTTCGCTCTCCTTGGCTTCATAACAGCCCCGCCAGACGGAAAAATTCATCTGTGTATTGCATAAGTAGAAATTTTTCTGTTTTTTAAATTTTATTTAAATATGGAAAGCATTCTAATACATCACAGGCAGAGATGTTTAGAGTACAAGAATATGATTTTAAATTTAATGCGGTCTAGTCCCTGTCAGAATGGTAGTCTTAAAGGAATAATCAATGTTTGTGTATCCATAATGAAGAAACTCAGCCGGTTAACTTCTAAAGGTCCTGTTTGGAGATTTAAGCTCTCTACAGTTCATTTCTCAGTTTATCCATATTTTGTCTCACACTACATCAATACACGAAAACATATTTTTATGTATTAAAGCAGTTTTAAAAAAAAATATAAATCCACTATCTATGTACGTGTGTGTGTGTGTGTGTGTGTGTGTGTGTGTGTGTATATATATATCACAGTAGCAGTCTACTGTACATCTCAGTGCCCAGAGTTATGATGGTTCCATGTTCGCAAGCTAATCTTTTCGCTGTTGGAAGATGCGTCCCTCTAGTGTAGCCAGTGGTCCTCCTCGCCTGCACCCAGTCCGCCCCCCCCCACCCCCGCTGCCGTCGTTCAGCATGTGTGCGGAGTTGCCGGTCACGGATGCGGGTCGCCACCTTACCAGGGGCCGGTGATGAATTGCAAATGGCCGGCACCCAGCACACATGCAATAAACCCGAATAAATCTTCGGTGTGTAATAATGACAGGAGCCGGGGGGGTGGGTCGAGGGGGGGGGACTGGCAGCTATAATGGCTTCGCAGTTGTCTCCCGCCTCACAACAGCTCTCTTATCCATCATTACCTGCCAGACCTCACAAAGGGACCAGGACGAGTTGGTCCGACGAAGGATGAGCTGTTTGCTGTCGACGGCACCGCCAGTCCCATCTGGCATGACGTAAATGGGCTTCTTTTAATTTCTCCCACTGGTTCCTCGGATCATTTTGTGCAGATATCGGACTCCTTGTGAATGGCCCGTTAGAAGTCCCTTTGTGCATTAAAGCCAGGATGTCCAGTGGTGATGTCACCGGTTTTTCTTTCTGTCTGCAGTTAAATGAGCACTGTGAGTCGAAATCATGGCGGCATTTACTGCCGTGACTGACACTCCCTCACCAAGGCCCCTAAGCCTGTCCCGTCCCGTTCTCGTCACAAGTTTATTGATCTCTGAGTTGCCTCTAACCCAGTGATTTTTTTTTTTCATTCTTTTTTTCCCCCTGACGTGTCATGAGCTTGACCAATGAATTTAAAGTCTTATTATGCTTAAATCTTGGCCACAGGGAACCCCAGCGGGCTGGGCCTCAGTGCCCTTCTGTGGCCTGTTGTGGCTTACAGTCTGACTGTGCAAATCTGCAATACTGTGCTTGCCATGCAGGGTCCTGACAGGCGCATGAAGTAAGCGTCACGAACAGCCCATCTCCTAGCTAAGATGTGAGTAAGTTGTTTCCAGGTAGTCAGAGTTGTTCCCAGCCTATTCCGGGAAGCACCTGGTGCCCTTGCCATGCATTTCGACATAATTTATGGTGGCACTTCAACATGGGCTTTTCATCTTTTTCCTGGCTATTTACTTTTATGTTTCTTTTTCCCTGCTTTCTTGGGCTGTCACATCTCCTCCCCCCCCCCCCCCCCCTCACCTGTAATTAAGCGATTGGTCTCCTTTCCTTTCACAGCTTCAGCTTAAGGTTACTGAATTTCTTAGAGGTATATGGGAGAGAATTTCAGGATCTGTCGTGGGTTCATGAGTGATGTTAATTGGAAGGAGTTGGCTGAGGATTGTAGAAGTGGGTTTAATGTAATTTTATTCCCTGTTTTTCATTGTGCTGAGCAGTGAGGTTTTCTTCTCTTCTGTGTGTTTGATGTAAATATAAGTCAGTTTTATGTTTACCTGGTGGTGTCTTTTTCCTACCTGCACAAAATCTACGTAAGGGCGTAGTTGACTGGAGTTTTAGCCCTAGCATTGCGGCAGACAGGCAGGTGGGCGGGCCGGTGATGTGTGTGATGTCAGTGGGTCAGGCCTCCGTGCGTGTGATTCGAAGGTGAACGGTTCAAATCCCAACATCAGCAGAATAGTGTTTCATGGGATTTGCGAAGTTTGAAAGAATTCTTATGTGGCTGTACTCATACTTGTACAAATGACAAATAAAGCATTTAATTTCATTTGAACAGAGTCTCATTCTGTAAAAACCTGTCAGATTGCCACTGGCTTGAGACAGTGAACCAGCCCACTGTGTGGATCATGGTCGTCTTGTTGCTGTTCTCTCGCATGGAAACGGGCCCGTGGTGGTGATCACAAAGACCCCTGGGTGCACAGATGCTGTAATCATGTTTTTTTAAATATTATTACTGGGCTCACACAGATGCAGATTGCGGATCTTTTGGGATTGCTACGCATTGCTTGAAAAATTCTATGAAGATTCAAGATTCTTTACCTCTTGTACATTGCTACATACTGTATGAATTCTTCTGGAAACATCAAAGCAGACATGTGACTAGGAACTAGAGAGATATGTATTTATGGAACAAATATGAAATACATAGAAGAAATAGAAACAGAAAATATAGCTAAATGTAGATATATGAAATTATAAAAGAAATGGCTGAAATAGGAAATACAACAAATGTGCAAAGTGTCTTTGTCCAATAAAGTATATTGTTAATTTATATGGGTGGTGTATCAAAGGTCAAACAGATTGATAGCAATGTGAAGCTTCGCATGAACTTGTGTAATTTCCTTTTGATATGTAGTAATAAATGTGTATGAAGCCCAAGCAGAGTCACTGTTATGGAGAGGAAAGCAGCGAAACCTGACAGCCACTGTCTTTTCTAGTCATCCGTCAGCTGGCTCTCGTCAAATGGAAGTGCTTGTAGTTATTTATAAAATGTTCTTGAGTCTTTGTGATTGTTTTGTATACATAAAATTGAACTGAATATTCAGCAAACACTCAGCTCTTGTGCACAAGGTGTAGTTTGTATGTGATAAGATGGGACAAGCGCTTTGCAGGCTAAGCTCTTAAAATTTTGGGGTTAAACTCTTATTTAGAGCACTGTAATGTGGAGTAAGTTATTACTCTTGTGAGAGATCTCTGCGTGATTCCCGTGCAACATTAATTTTACCTCTTGAGAGATCCTGTCCTTTTACTGTAAATAATTATGCCTGATTCAGTGACAGGCTGTTTATGGAGTCACACTGGCATTGTGTCTGATTTAAATCCCTGGTGGAAGAAGTCTGCCTTTCAGGCAACACCGTGTTCAGTGTGTGAACCAGGTGCTTATGTGGGCAATGTCAGCTGAGTGGCATAGTGGGGTTGTACAGTGGTATCACTAAGGATGCAGCTTCCAGAATCCCCTCTCTAGGCACTTTAAGGTACTGTAGATGAAGGAGGCGTGACCAGGAACTCACGTCCTCCTGGTTTGTGGGTTCAACCCCAGCTCAGTGTCTGTGGAGCTGGTGTTTCTTGCTGTGCTTCTGTACGCTCTGTTGGCTGTTTGGTTTCCTCAAATCCATGCCTATCCACATCCCTGGACCTTCTCATGCACATCACTTTTTCTGGGATTGGCTTCAGAGTCTCCGCATTTGGAAAACTAGTTGTTTAGATAAGGTGGATGGTGGATATAGACTTTATAAATGGGTTTGTTTTTACTAAAAAAACAAGCAGGTGTAGTTTGGATATGTCTTAACAGGCCATTTTGGGAGATATCGGAGTTTGGCGCACCTGCTCGCTTGTCTGTTAAGTGTGACCTTTAACCCCACAACGGAGGTCATCGAGGTCATCACTTTGTCACTGGTATCAGACCTAAACAGGTAGTTTTCACATTTATGCCACCAGTCTGATTACCTGCTAAGAGTGTATTATGCTCCTGTGTGTGTTCCTATTACCAGTTTCTGTTCAGATTCGTTGCTGTGTGGTATATTTGGAAGGTGGGATTACTGATTTTGTGAGGTGAGTTGGCCAGAAGTTGTAGCGCTGTATGTTTCCCAGTCCGTGTGGAATGTTTACTGTGAGCTTGTTGGAAAGCTCAGCCTTTATAGGGTGTCTGTCTGAAGCTGTACTCTGGCTGTGCAAAGCCGGTCTAGCTGCGATGGGGCCACGCAGTGACAGGCTCCGCGTCACACACACCCCGGTGCGGTTTTGTTTGTCCTTTGGTTTGCCGCGGCGTTCCCCGTCGGCGAGCTCGGGAGAGGAGCCCTGCCCGCCGGCGGCACCGTGTGACCAGGCTGCCGCGACTGCTCTGTGCTGTCGCTCATGCTGCCCTCAGTTAGCCAGTAGAGGCCACTCACATCATGCCGTTCAGGAGGTTCGGGCGTCCGATGAGCCAGCCGGGAGACACCTTCTCAGACTGGACCCTGACTTGCAGCTCGGAGAATGTGTTTTTTTGTGCTTCTGTGCGCAATAAAAGGGTGTTTAATAAAGAGAACACTTATGAGGTTGTAAGTCACTTTGTGCTCTCAGAACATAATTAAAAATACTTTTATATTGGTCTCTCACAATAAGATAGAAAGCTGTTCTCATAATATATTACAGCTGTCTGCCCAGCCAGGAACTGGCACTGTTGGTCAGAAAGGAAATTATTTATGCTACACTAAATGACTATGTGTGAAAAGGGACCTTTGGAACAAAGTGTAATAATAATAATGCTCTGCTCTTTACTGTGACCACATGGCAAATTCTTAATTGGGATGCCGTTTTGAAAATGCAGTATTTTGTACTGCAGATGTACTTGTCTCTCTTCAGGAGTGGTGTGACTGTGTAATGTTACACGCGTGTCAGAGGCTGCAGCCTCTGATTAGTAGTAACGCTGGGGGTGGTCAGCTCAAACAGAGACACCTCAGCAATCGTTTCCTGTACCGTAATGTGCAAATTCACTGTTATTAGTGCTGTTTTGTCCAGTGCGATTATCAGTTTGAAGGCGTGTCTTATTGTCTGATTAGTTTCTTCTACCAGTGTATCAAATTTGACTGAAACTTGTATAAAAAAAAATAGATAAAAGTGCGGTGTGTAGATACAGAAACAAAACATTTTTGCATATTGTTGTACAGAATGCATCATTTAAAGGCCCGTCTATGGTTATTGCTTAATGAAACCTTCCTAATGTGCTTGAGAGAGAATATCAATAAACTGGTCATGCTTTTGATTAGGTTGATGGGCACTGGGGCCCTGCTTAGGCCGGCCCCGGCTGCGCTCCACGCTTTCCCTCTTGGTCTCGGACTCTCATGTATTTTTCCGCATCTCTGACGCTGCAGACTGGCGTCCCTGGGCAGGGCTGTAACGAGAGGCTGCCTCGACTCTCCCAGGACCCCCATCACCACGAGTGAGTACTGTCGCGGCACCAAGAGCGCCTCTCCTCATCAGGTTCATGAATGACATGTTGTGAGGAAGGGGAGACACAGGACACTGGCAGTGCAACTCTTAGAGGTGTGGTTTGCTGTCTGTTGCCACTTGTATCTGTGATATTGTGGTACAAGCTGCTCCAGGCTGGGTCCCCCTTTTGGGTCAGTCCTGGTTATTGTCTGGTCTGAGTCACATGTCTGGGTCCTCTTCGATCATTGGTAATACAGTGCTTATTTCCGGGCCATCGCACACTCTGACTGGACCCATTTACTCTCAGTTTAAAGCGCCCCCCAATCATGTGGTCATCACTAGCGATTAAGGTTGAAGGTGGACTGTCAGAATGGCCCTTTCTGAATGCTGAAGTGTAATCTTTCTCTGTTCCGCAGCCCTTGGTTTGGTCCAGAATCCAGAAGGGAACATGGACAGGTGAGAGAGCCTCACAGCCTGCTTACAGGGTATTTTTTTCTTAAACATAAGGATATAGAAACCTTACTGTTACCAGGACCCCAATATATATACAGAACCTTGGGAAATAAGTATTGTTACACCCCTAACACTTAATCATCTCAAATCGAGTAACATTGATCACATGTACTCCTCAAAGAACAGCATAAGTAAGGACCCCCCCCCCACCACCCATTGGGACTAGAATGACTTCCTGTAGGTGCATGTTCAGCTTTAATTACGTGCCACATTGTGAGTGTATGTATGACTTTAAACATCTCGTCCTATCGTGCGGAAAACTATCAAATTAATCGAGATTGCAGGAAGAAAAGTATATTGAAATAAATGACCGTGGGACTGTTTTTTTATTTGCCCAATTATTTTTATTTTTTCCTTAAGTGGTCCTGGTCACTCTTACATTTAAACAAATTATTTGTCTGACTATTTTCGTACATCATAATTTAATGTTTCCTCAAACTTTTATTGAAGTTAATGGCTCGTAAACATCGCTTCTAGTTTAAGATGTGTGTTGTATATCATTATTTTTAGAGTGAAATGTCTTCTGATTGCATTACTTAGATTGTAGTTTAAGGGTATTTCAGCTGGGTATTTATGTGTTGAAAAGCAATAGGAAAGGCTTTTTATTTTTAATGTTGGTAATTATGTTGGCAAAGCCCTCCCCGCTTTTCTTGAAGAGGGTAATTCTACCTTCATTACGATTCTCCTGGATATAGTGTTTTCAAAAAAGATCCACTCCTCTGGATCGTTAGTGCGGGGAGCAGATTAATGATTCCCTGTGAGCTTTGTCAGTGGTGGCAGCCAGAGTGTGGCTCGCACACGCCGACAGTGCCCCCCACGCTGAAGTTCTGTCCGTGTCCCTCCCGTACAGCTGCCGTGGGACACCCGGACGGACAGGGGCCATCGTAGGAGCTGCTCATTAAAGACGGCCAGCAGGTGAGCAGCGCTTGTCCGTCTGTCCCCCCCCCGACGTCCACATCTGTCTCTGGGGGCTCATTTCGGGCTCCCGGCATGGTTTCCCGAGACAAAGAAAACCTTTCCCCTCTGGACTTGGATGCTTTGTACCGCATGTACATCTGTTTGTTTCAGCTTTTTGTGCCTTACTGTCGTCATGTGAAGAGGGTTACATGTTTAGCATGGTGGTTTTGCACAGCTAAAACCAGCAAGAGCTCTACGGTCATTTTTTCCAGAGAAGATTTTCCAAACCAAGGCAAAAAGGACCCCTTCATAGGTGGCCATCAAGTAATACTGTGAAAGCATTTGAAAATACTTTGTAAATGTAAAAATAAAAAGTCTCAGGTGATACATGTCAGTGGTGCTTCGGTCGCATGCATGGATGTCCAGGCTGCTTCAGAAGTGTGCTTCCCTCACAAGCATGAACCGCACTCAGATGTGTTAGGGGTGTCTGTGATTTTAACAGAACTGTTTCCTGTCTAATAATCAGTTTGTTTGACAGGAAATTTGAGGTTTTGTTAAATAATGAATCTTTTTGGACCCCACCTGGGTAATGTCTTGTTCCTGAGCCCGGCACAGTGAGTGCTGGCAGCCACTAACGGCCAGGCCCCCGAAACGCCCGGGTTTGACTTCGTTATTCACCTTGATTTTAAATGGCTGCTTTTTTTTCCACTCTTTTTAAAATGGTAACTGCGAAACGTACTCTTGGTGATTGAATTAAAAATAGCGAGGCAGAGAGCTCCCCGTAGGTGAAAGTGACCCACGCGGATGTTAGGAGCAGTGAAGCAGCTCCTCCTCGAAATATCCTTCACGAGATGACGAATTCGGGGTCGGGAGCGCGCCCACCTGCCAGCCGTTAACGGCCTCTCCCAGTTACCACAACCAAGGCTTTTTGTCAGTTTCAGCGAATGTGAAGTCATTCGGTCCAGTTTGAAGTTTCTTTTGAGCTTTTCTTTTTTTTTATGACCAATTTACTGGAATGTTTGAAATATTTGTTATGCTGTTCTTGTTCTATACATTGAAAATTGTTCCTCCATCTTCAACTTTTTTTTTTTTCTTCAACTTGGTTTTGTTAAACAGGTGGACACCCCCTTCACCCCATCTCCTCCCTTGCTTTCCCTGTCATCCCCCCCTTCCTTTCCCCCTTCCTTCCCCCTTGCTGTCTCCCCCCTTCTTTCCGCGCTCCCTCACTCATGGAGGCGCTCGTCATTTCTCACCTTGGTGGCGGTGCCGCTCCCCCCCGCCGCTTCCCCCTGACGCCCAGCGTCCATCTTAGCTTGCACGCGACTCTGACTCTCGCCCTCTCGTCTCTCACACCTCGCTGTTCATTTACCCAGAAACACCTGGCCCAGCTCACAGCAGAAACAGTTTGCCGTCCTTTTATTTGTTTGGCTGGCCTTCTCTCCCCCACATCTCCTCTCTTCTTCTAGCTCACTCATCTTTCTCCTCCTGGCCTTCATTTGGTTTCTTCCCTCTCACAGCAGTGCTGTATCTGGTAATTGGTTTGGTTTGGTTATTGTTATTGCCCCTCAGACTGTAAGTCACCGTCTAAAGGTTGTCTCCTAAAAGACAATAATAATCACGAATGACTCGCCTCATCTACCACCGATGTGCGGCCCTTATCATAAATCTCTCCCTCACTCCCGCTTCCTCCTTTCTCCCAATCTTTCTCCCTCCCTCATTCCCTCCCTTCTTCCTCTATTATGTTGTAATCAAGGTGAGAGAAATTTATGGGTGACTTTGTGCTGAATATTACTGTTGAATTGCTGTGTCTTTTCAGCTAGGTTGCTGACACCCAAACTATATTAACTGTGTGTTTTTATAATATAGTATCATTAAATAGGCAATCATATAGTTTTATGTTGAGGAAAATTAAAAAAGGGGTTTCCTCATTTAACGTCAATGGGCAGGAAATGGCACTAATTCTCATGGAGGTGGGAGGTGATGTATGGCCTTATACAGCGCCCCCATTGGGCTGCTCAGCGGGCTGGCCTCGCTGTGGTCACGTGCCTGTCTCTGCTCCCGCTGGCCTTCTTGCATCAGCAGGCCCAATGCAGTACAGTGAACTCACAGTAACGTTGTTGAAGACTCTGTCGTCTTCAGATTTAAATCCTTTGTGTTTTCTTTCACGTTTTCCTGTTTACTCACTCTTATGCAACGTCCACTATATTATAGTGGTGGAATGACAGAAGAAAATCTACCCCCTCATACCCATGCCCATCATTGTGGGATTCCGAAGACCTTTTCTGAGTGTCTTGGGTAATTTAAAGTCTTGGGGTTTATTTAGAAGGTCTGCATCCCTTGACTTGTATTTCGGATTCCTGTTCAGTCTGCTCTTCTTTAATGACAGAGTTGTGGGATTCTTGTGGGAGTTTACATGTGCCTTCCTTTAACACTGACGCCGCTATTCTGTCTGTTTTCAAAGTTTTATATCTTTACATGACTTTTATTCCTCTCCCCTGCCTTTGGCACAAGTTTCCTTGGCTTCCTGCTTCAGACTACGGGCAGGGTTTTTTTTTTTTTTTTGGTGGGGTCCTGCTGCCACGACGACTCTAAGTGTCAGTGAAAGCAGACTAATGCTGTTATGGCTCCAGCCTCTACGTGAAATTCAAAGTGGCATTTTGGGGCATTTTTCCGCTGCACCAGGTACCAAACTTTTGGTACTTCGAGAAAGTACTGAAAGTACGGTACTTCAACGTGTTGGTTTTCCACTGCCGTAAAAACTGGTAGCGGTGCCGATTGACATCGCAGCGCGACGCGGGGTATCTTGTACTGAATTCGAAAAATGGCTATAGTATATTATAGGGCTTGGTGATGTGCAATATTAATACAAACATCACATGTTATGCACATACAATTCTTACATCACTAGTCAGCTATATCAAAATAAGGTCTTTTCTTACTTTCAATTCTGTATGGACATTACAGCACGGGGGTTAAAGTTTCACTAAAATATGTTTACTCTATTACTGTCATACTTTTAGATTCTTATGTTTAAAAATCAGTTTAAGTTTACCTCTGCTGCTTTTTCATGAGCGCTGCATACGTTATCCGAGCCAATCGTAATCATTTTCATCCTTGTCGTTTGAATCACTCGAAGACGGGTTTGTGAGAGATTTATGAACTCCATTTTTGTTTTATAAATACCCAAATATTTATTACATTGTGTTCATCCTTTTTTTTTCTTGTCATGCCATCCAGATCTTTTTGTTTTATATGTTCTTACAACGAAATTGCATTTTTTTTAACGTTTAACATTATTCTCTGAGTTCGCTGCTGTTTTCAAGGCGGCGTTTGTGTTGTGTTTCAGCGGCTGGTTATTTGCATATCCATTCGACAAAGAAAGCATTTCAAGTCCCACACCAAAGTACCGAAGTACCAAAGAAGTACCCCAGCTGGTTTGCCATTTTCGGTACTGGAACTTTTGGTATTGGTACTCGACCGGAAGTCAAAGTACCAAAAGTATCGTTTTTGTTGAGGTATATCTCTTGCTGCTAACTGCTGCGGTCTGAGCCACCATAACTGGCAAAGCTGTTATGGGACATGGACTCAGAGGGTGTGCCCATTCCGGCGGGGAAAGGGGTGGACCTGCCATTCTTCCATCTCTTGCCTGTGTCCACCTCATTCTGACAGCTGCTCTGTGATTATTGTTGCAGGCAGACGAGCGGACACCTGGGCTCCCTGTGCACGGGCGACATCAAGAGGAGACGCAAGGCACCGCCAGGAGCCGGGCCCGTCCCTACGGGTACGATTGGTGGCACTGCCCTCAGCCATCCTTATCTCTGATTGGTGACTGAGGGCATGGGGGGGGGTGCATGTCTGAGCCCTAATCCTTGCTACACTGTAAATTACATCAGTTTCTCTTAGTGCTTCTAACCGTCAGTTTATCGTTGAATTCATCCCGTTGAAGATTAACGTCAAAGTACAAATAAGTAAAAGAAAAGGTATGAATAATTTGAGAAACGAGTGGCAGAGTTAACGATTTTGTGGCACGGGAGGAAGGGGATTTCGGCTGTAATCCAACCCTTTGGGGACATCTCCTTGCAAAAGGTGGCTCTCGGTGAAAGCTCAGCATTTCCATACCGGACATGGGAGCATGCCACCGGGACCGGTCACTTTCCACGACGAACAAAGAGTCCAGATGTTCGCCCTCGTCGGGTCGCCAGCATGTTTATTTATTTAATGCGCGCCTTTTGTTGTCGCACGGCCTCTCTGCCATATGCACGCTGTCACTAGCCAAGCGCATTCTGGAAGCTTTCAGAGTGTGATCTCCCACGGAACGGTTCCTTAGCTAACGTGCCTAATTAGAGAATGTGTGAAAGAACAGTAAGCCTGGTGCTCATCTTGGTTTCAGGTGTTTGAATCTTTAATGAGACCTTTGCTCCCTACCTCAAAGAGCAGGGTCTGTCCCGAGTGTAGGGTCAAGTCCTCCGTGTCACCAGAGGGCGCTGTCAGTTTGCCTGGTTTGACCCTTCCGACCCTGCCTATGTTTAGCAGCCCACTTTTTTTTCTCTTCCTAATTGTCTGTTTTGTTAAATAAGTTGACATATGGTGAAGAATGGAAGTTAAAGTCAATACAGTGAACCAGGGGGTTCTTTTTTTAAAATTTAAAAAAGAAAAATGTATTTATTATTTCTTTAAATGTTGCAGCTGGTTTAGTGTGGACAGACAGTTCCATGTCCTGAGTGTACTGAACAGGCCTGGTAGAGTTAAAGACCAAATTAGCACTGTGATATACTTTTTGCGAAATGGGGAAATATTCAAGTGTGAAAAAATGTCTGTTTTCCCTGTAATTCCACAGGCGCCTTAAACTCTGGAGGTCTTTATGCCTTTGATTTGTGGCCACTCCGTGAAATCAACTGACAAAGAGGCAGATAATAGTCCTTCCTTTGTAATCTCATGACAGGTCTGTGATGGTATTTGGAAATTATCTGAAGTAAAAGATCCGTGGCGGGAAAATCGTGGCTGGGAGCTTAGCAGTGGGCGACATGAAGCCATTAATAAAAGCACAAAATGGTGAATCGCGTCTATTTATTTGGAGTGTCTTACAGCTCAGTGTAGATAATAAGCGCATTAAACAGCAGACAGAGAGCAACAGCAACAGAAAGTCTGTATGTTGTCCAAGTCCTGTGCACAGACAAAGTGTTTAAGAGGCATTTTTAACTACATTGGACTGCATAGGGCTGAGGCCTTCTTGGGGTGTTTTTACGAGGGGGGGAGGTACTGTCATGCAAGAGAAAGGGAAGCCCAGTATGGACAAGGAGCCACCAGTACTAATCAGTGGCACCATAATCTGGTTAATGGTCTTAGCTATGGCATGCTAAATTAATCAGTCATGCTCCAAAGGTATCTGAACATTCTTAATTTTGACCCCGGACTGCGGAAACACTACTGAGGCACCAGGTGGCGTAGTGGCTATGGCCCTGTGAGAACTTGTGAGCTGCAGACTGTTTCTTAACCTACAGTCCGTGGAGGACACGCTGCGTTGAACAAGTGAGCCCAGGGTCTGAATCAATGAAGTATCTGTGGGTAAAGAGTGGATAGTGTTGGTTGAAAAGCTGACTGGGAGGGGAGCGGGCCACTTCGGACGGCCCGCTCCCCAGACGGCTTTCACTGCCATGCCGTTTCATTAAGAGGCTCTGCTGAAATTGATGAGCAGGCCCCTCGCAAATCTGTTCCTCCAGCTGTCAGGTGTCATGGGGATTAAACAGATGTGTCCCCCCCAAGCGGCCGTGCCCTGACTGAAGCTTGTTTACAGATTTCGCCCCACCTCTTGGTAGGTTGTTAAAGTCAACGTTGCGGCACCTTGAACCTCATAACGTGCAATCGATGGCTCTTGCAACACTGGACTGAGACTCAGCACTCTTCTCTTGCACTTACATCAGTTATTGTTTTCTTTCACACCTTGTCTAGCTGTAGTTTTCCAGTCCCAAGCGACTAACTTAATTACACTTCAAAATGAACTATTATGTTTTTTTATGGAGTATGTATATATTATTTGTTTTCATCTGGATTTGTTTTCGTCTGCTGTACGTATGTTCAGAGCTTTTTGTTTAATTATACGCTTTCCCCCAATAATTAATGTAAATAAAAGCCCACTCTACCTTTCTCCTCTGGCCATGTGCAGCCGGCAGCTTGGGTATTCCTCTCTTGTCCATGATAACATATCCAGGGCCAAAATTCACCCGGCTGCTTTTGCACCTTGAGATTATTTTCCTTGAGCGCACTCACCAGGTGAGCAGAGAGACATTCACAAATATTTTTGTCTGTTCCTCGATGTAATTTTCCTCTGATGGGAATCGGCAGCATCCAGAGCAGAGTCTGCCTCTCTAGGATGGTGTCCATAGAGAATCACCCATAGAAGGATGTTCTCAAGAAGTAGCCGATTGCTGCCTTAAAGTTGGGAGCCGAGATATCAAGAGAGAAAACGATTTCCAGCCCTTTAAATGCAGAGTGGACACTAATAGGTTAAAGTTATGGATTTTCCCATTATTTCCAACGTCTATTAAAATCATGTTTTCTGTTCTGATTTTAATCCTCAATAGTTATGTTCAAAACTTTACCAGTAAGACTGAAATTAAGTAAATGTCTATTAATTTTATAGCTTTTTATAGTTTGTGACTGTTGAGCAGTATATGAATCAATTTGGCACTGTTTGGATTAAGACTGAAGTTAAAATGATCCTGTTTTAATTGTGTGTTCATGAGCTCTACCACTTACTGTTTCAGCATTCTCTACCCTGCTTGTCATTTTCATTCTTTTCATTTCTTAGAAAGATGCCCGTTTCCTGGAATCTTCTACGCTGGTTAAAATAAGCCCATATCTACTGTGTTTTTTTTCCGGGTAGGATTAAACCCGTATCCCTTTCCTGCTGCAGCCTGATTCCTTCTTTGATTATCACGCCCCTAGATTTGGGGCTGCAGAGGGTGGCCGCAACGTCCCCCTGCCTGCCGTCTCCCGCCCACTAAGGGCTTAACCTCGCGGCGTAGCAAATCCCCGCGTGCTGCTTGCTCATTTCACGGTGAGCAGCTGCCTTGGATTCCGGCGTCTCGTTCGGACTTTGCGGCCAGGGCCAGGAACGTGTTGCGTGGCAGCTTTGTGGCTTTGAAGTCACGGGTTTCGGATTTCTGCGCGGGGTTTGGGAGCCGTACAGACTTTGCGTCGAGGGAAACGGCCGCAATGGTGCTTTTTCGCAGTGCAGCCATTGTATGCCAGCTGTCCTCACTTCTGAAGCTGTGTTAAGATGATCACCCAGCCTTAGACTCGTCCGGATTATCCTTCACCCACTGACCTTGCTTTCCTTGGCATTCACAGGACTGGTGGGTGAGAATGCCCTGCCCATCCCAGAAAGCAACGTGGGGAGCCGGATGCTGCAGACCATGGGCTGGACTCCGGGAATGGGGCTGGGACCCGACGGAAGGGGCATCACAGAACCCGTTCGGGCCCTACAGAGGCCAAAGGGAGCAGGGTTAGGGTTTAACTGAGCACCCCCCCCCGCCCCACGAGCAGCCCGTGCTACCACAAGCCTTGAGACCTGACTTGGAAAATCATCCCGGTCCGGTTCCGCTCCCGGACACCGGCCGCGGACCGACCTGCGATCAACCCCAAGGAGCGGCTAAGCAAAACACGGGAGCGGAAATGAGTTTTAAGAACAACTGAACCGCAAATGTCTTATTTTAGAACGAGCCCACGCTGAAACGAACAGACCCGAATGTGACACCCGGGGCTGCAGGATTGTCTTTTTGTCTCCAGTGAGTGTGCTGCATTTGACATTCCCCTAATCAAAAATATTTCTTCCCGCAATCAGCATTATTCAGAATTAAGAACTTTGCTCTAGGACTGAGCTGCCAGACAGAGCTGAATGACGGGTCGATCCTTAATTCATTGTTAGTTAAAAACAATTGCTGAAGAAGCACCGTTGTGCTGGATTTAATGTTGTGTAGCTTCCCGTAAATTTTTGTTTTTATTGTGTTTTAATAGCTATTTTTTTTAACTGCTGAAACCACCAGCGGGCCCTAGAAGTCAGCATGTATCTCCAGAGTACAGAGAGAGGTAAATGGGGGGGCAGATGCTGTGTATCCTCACATACCAAGGGTGCTGGGAGAGGCGGGAGGCGGGACTCCTGGTCTGAATCGTCAAGGATTTATGAAGGATGTCCAGTAACAGTATTCAGAAATGAGATGCCTGGTCAGTTGCATTGGATTTCTAGGGCCAAGCTGTACAAATGGTAGCACGAGAGCCCTGTGAGTTTTGCGTGCTTCTTCAGACCTAAAATTTTGAGGGAAATCCTAATTGAAAGTGTATCAGTTTTATTCCCCAATCTTTAAATGAGTGTCAGGGGTCATGAATGTTTGGATATTAGCTGTTCCGATTGTGCCGTTTGTGGATTCGTGTGCTGTGCGGCTCTGGGGAGACACCCTCGGTGCTGGGGCTCACGTGGACAAAGTGTTGTCACAGAAGCCTCCTCAGTGGTACCAAGGTTTCTAGCAGGAACTTAACAAAGCCCAGACCACAAGGAAAAAAAAAAAACGACAAAGCTGTGTTCCCCTTACTCTTATCATTCCAAATGTAACTCAGTGCTGCAAACTTGAAGAGAATCCACCTATGCAGTTTTGTAAAACATTCAGACCTTGTGTGTCGCTGAAGCTGCCGTCTGAGTTTGGGTGGCTACTTATCTGAAGCTCACGAACCGCCAGACGGGTTCAGCACCACCAGTGATAATCAGTTGGTTTTAAATCATTAAAAACATACAGTAAGAGGCATGTGGGAAATGGATTATTGGAATTGGTTTCCCTGTACTGATTTTAAGAATAAAAATTAAAAAATGTCATTTCTTGTTTTGTTTCTCGTGTGTGCAGGGAATGATGTAAAATAATGATAGTGACTTGTGAAGGTTTCCTGTCCACGTCGAAAAGGCTTCATGCAAAGCTACTGTGCAGTTCCTTTTGGTCGTAACAGTTGAATGGGTATCAGCCAGCAAGCAGGCATGTGCTTAGTGGGGGCACTGGGTGGCGTGGCAGGTGGGGACTCTGTGCCTACGATGGGACAGTCACTGGCTTGAATCTCATGGTCGGCTGAGTGATTTCGCATTTGGGCCCTTGAGCAAGGCCTTTAACCCCTAGTTGCTCCAGGGACTGGCTGGCCCGGCTTTCTCAAGATTGCACATCGCTTTGAATAAATGTAATGCTTAGGCACAGGGGAAAGGGATGCATGAGCTGGATGTGGAGAATGTAAATAGTATTTTAAAATTATATATGAATATCCCCCCTCCTGAGAACCTTCCAGCGTCTCTCTGTCAGGACCTCCTCATTTCTTTGGTGTCGAGATGCGGAACTGAAGCCATAGTTTTAGTAGGGATGTTTGTGTCAGAGGTGTGATGAATATTTCCCTGGGTGATAGAGAGATTCTCATTGGAATCAATTAGCAGAGGTGGAGATTTTAGGTCCAGAGAGTACAAATCCAGACCAAGATTTTGTTTCAACCAAGCCAGTTGAGTACTCTGTGACTGTGACTCTTGTTGTTGTTGGTTGAAACAAAATCTTGGTCTGGATTTGTACTCTCTGGACCTGAAATCTACACTCTGTCAATTAGCAACTCAAAAGTGCTGATTTTAAAAAGCGTTTACCTGAACTTGAATGTTGAGTTTTAGATCAAGTGGGCCTTTCCGTTTGCCAACTCCTCCTTGATGCTCCAGGTTTTGCCTTACCTCTGGTCCACTCCTAGACAAACAACATTTTACCTCAGCGATGCTGCACTTTCCAAAATGGGATCGCTCTCCTGCGGAAGGTTCGTGATTCAAACCTCGACTCCCTTAGGGCCGTTCTAAGGGGAAACCAAATCTAGTTACGATTCTGCTGATTAGGTGAAATTTTCAAACCTAATTGTCACTGGACTCGGCAGGGGACGAATGAGCAGTGGAAGACTTGCCCATTTCCATCGGATTAAACCGCGTATGACCAGGGCAGTGAGGCAGCCTTGCAGCTAGTGCTGTGTCCTGACGCCTTCGGGGTCCTGGGCTTCAAGCCAGCCTTAGTTGTTGTTTGTGGAGTTTGCTTGTTCTCCTCCTTTTGTCCGCGTTAGTTATTTTATTTAGTAGACATTTTTTGTCCAGTGTGATGCAAAAAGTACGTCGCAAACATGCAACTGTCGAGGAGCTGGGCTAGACGTAAGTACAACAAGGCTGAGCTTCCAGTGAATGCCCAGGTAACTGTGTAACCATGGATTAGTAGAGGTATTCCTGGAACAGATGCGTCTTGAGGCATTTCTTCAAGGTGGAGAGCAAATCTGACGACCAGATGTGGTTCCTTAGCTCATTGCAGTAGCTGGGAACCACAAAAGAGAAACATCCACATGGATGTTCAACTTTCATCTCAAGGTCCAAAGATATCCAAGTGAAACAGTGTCTCTAAATTGCAGAGTGTGTTCTCTGTGACGGACTGACATTCTGCCGGGGTGTTCCCTTTTACTCTCTATTTCCTGGGATAGGCTCTGTGACCATAGACTGCCAGCAGTTATGGAAGATGGATGACAGATTTTTGAATACAGCTGCCGGCCCACCAGAAGTTTTTCCGCTGTTCATGGATGTACATTTTGCATCCACATAGCTCACAGTGCATTGACCTCCACTCCCCGAGAAGAAGCCCGACCCCAGACACTGAAGGAGAAACAGCCCTAATTGGGGTATAATGACCTAATTAGTTAAATCTGTCACCTTATTGCGAGGGAGGAAATTGGCAAATTGGTAATACTGATTACCATTGTTACGTTATTAATTTGGAAAGGTATGGGCGCCCGCCCTGACTGGATTTAATCGGGACACAAATGCAAACGGTGCATGATGAATGAACAAACAGGGCTGCAGGAAGTGTGGCCTGTGGCAGCTCCTCTGACTCCTCTTTGTTCTTCCTTTTCTCTGTGGTCACTGCAGCAGAGTAACTCGTCTTCCTTGTCGGAAAACTACATGAGAACAGCAGGGGTGTTTTTATGAACTTGACATATGGTGTGAGTTCCTTTGCCAGCTGAGCGTCAGCTTCCTGTTTGAAACGCAGCTGGGAAGTATTCAGACTATGCCCTAATTTGACCCGATCTCTCAGAGCTTTCTCTGATGGTGCACGGGATAGTCTGTTTCTGCTCCCACTTCTGTCCTCCCAAGTCTTAGCATCTGCCAGATTGTCCTTCATGGTGCTCCTGACGTCCCGGCCTGGTTCTAAATGATGTGGTCGCTGGGTGAGCAGCAGAATCCAGTAGGCCTTACCTGCATCTGTGTCTTTGCTCAAAGAAGATGTTCAGCTATATCCAGCTTGGAACCCAGAACATACTGGCAGTTTGTTTAGGGGGAGAATAATGCAGATTTTTTTTTTCATTCTAAATATTAGGCAACCAAGAAAGAAACAAAACAGTTGGACGTCGGCTGCGTAACACGGGGAGAAGGAACACCACAAAAAATCTGTGTGATAGACATTCTGCTTGCAGATTGAGGTGTAATGGGGTAGGCGATCCTGACTCTTGGAAATGCCCGAATCGTGACAATATGTGATCCAGAGGCCAAAGCGCATGATCATACAAACCGTGCCAGAAGACTTGATTCGAGGGAGAAGACACGGGGTGACAAATAACTTCTTTTGCAAGGTTGCTGGAAAGTGCAATTCTTTAAATTAATTGCCAGATCCATTACGGGCTGCTGGAGTGGTGTAATACTTTACATGGCTGGCACCCTGTGCATAAATAATTTGATAATGAGATATGAGACTAATTAGTGGTACTGCACTTAGCATTGAAGGCCATTACACTTGTTGGGGTTGTGTGGGTCTTCTGGTAATGTTGGAGTCCACTTTCATGATATGACCTTGAAAACGCACCATCAGTGCTCATGCTGAATGCACTGCACTGACATTTTTTTCATAGATGTCTAGCATCACACCTCCAGGTTGCCGGTTCACATCCCTTTTCCGACTTTTAGAGATTCTGCCCTGTTTGATCCGGTTTTCTAAACACAGTGAGGCCAATTGCCATCTAAATCGTCCCTTGTATGTGATTGCGTGTGGGCCCTGTGGTGGACTGGCGTCCCGTCCAGAGTGTCCCCTGCTTTGTGCTTTATTCTGTATCATGGCCCATGAAGATGGAGCAATGGATGAGGACTTTTACCCCCCTGGATATGTGCTTAGAAAATGGAGTTGAAAAATCTTCCTTATTAATTTATATAACTAAAACTGTCTTTCCCGACCTGGTCTTCAGGGACCCATAGCCAGTCTGAAAACTGGACAGTCTGGCAGGGAGCTGGGAGGGAGTAAAAACATGGACCATATGGGGCCCCCCAAGCCCAGGTTGGGAGACACTGAATTAAAATGACTGAGGCATATAAATTGTTTGCTTGCTTTTTCCTAATTTCGGGTTTCCTAGGGTTTCCAAAAATATCGGCAAGCCACGTCAAGCATGCTGACCTAACAGATGTCTTACCTGAATGTTTTCATCGCAGAGCATTTTTGTTTGTGACCGGCGGTACCTTCCCATGCACTTTCACGACAGGCCTCTGTCCCGTGATGTCAGTGTCACTCTCGCATGTGTAGTACAGGATTGTCTCCCTTTTCTTCTCCCCCTGCCCCTCATTTGCATGCGAGGGACGTGTGGCAGCAGGTCTGATTCAACCTTCCCACAATGCTCACGTTCTCAGAGCTGGGGGGGGGTGGACCGCACTTCATTTTTCTGGGTGGATGATTATTGTACCGTTGTCCCGCTGCCTTTGAGCCACAAGTGCGGGAAATTGATGTGTGCCGGTTCCATTTGATGATCCTTTTGTATGTGATCGCAGAGGACAGGGGCGACTTTGTATAGGTAGGGAACTTGGCAGGGACTTAAATAATGGAAGAGCTCTTTGTCCCATTCCAGAACATCCCACTTACAGGAATGTGTTCAACGGAAAAATTGTTCAGCCTTTAAAGGAAAGGCCAAAAATGTAAACAAATGTTTTGATTAGTACAGTGTGTGTGCCCAGGATAGTGGATTAATTTGGTAATTTGCAGAAAAAGCTAATGCACAGTTCTCTTGTGTCTCGTGGGGTTAGCTAAGGTTGTTGCTTTAGTGTGTAGTGGGATCGACTAACTCTTATATCCACAATACATTGTATAAGGTTGGTGAAAATGAGTGGAGAATTTGATGCTTTGGATGGATGTTTGGAAGAATTTCAAACAACATGATGTCACTTTGGAAAAAAATCGAAAAACATAAGCAAACTGAATTTTATAAATTTTATTACTGTGCTCTGTCAATCCCTGCTTAATGGGAACTGATTGGTTAAGCAACAGGAAGTGGGTAAAGTAGTCACTGCAGGTGATAGATCTCACCTGTGGCTGCTTTAGGAGCCGTGCATCTCCCACAGCTGTTAATAAGACAGAACGATGTTCTCCAATCATGTTCCCCAGCATCTAGGCTGGTTGCCACCATGAGTGTTTTATGTAAATCAGAGGAGGGCAAAGCTACTCTGATTGGTCACTCAATCGCTAATTAAACTCCCGAAGGGCACCTTAAAACGCATTTGCCGTGGTCCACAATGAAGTTACGCCGGGCTGGCTGCAGTTCGGTGGAGGGAAAGTCATCCTTCACACTGTCCTCTCTGTAACTGAAGGGTCTGTCCCCAGGTTGTGTCGCGGCATGTCGAGAAACTCCCGCCGCCGCCGCCGGCACTGCCGGCCTTTCCGCGCGTTTAGCGTTCCCCTGCCAGCTGGCACGAAGAGCACCGACTTGTTTCCCTGAAAGTAAACAGCCTTTGCAGCCAACATCTGCCGGGGAAAAAGGGGAAAAACAAACAGCCGCTGCTTGTATACCTAAAGTCAT